AATCATGTTATGTTGTGCACTTCTAAGCAAATTTGTTGTTGATCTAACAAGACCAAAAAGACCACGTTATTAAGTTGGTTCGGTACATAGGATCAAACCATTTAAATTGCTCACTTGTATAGTAAGAGATATCTCAATTGAACGTGTGACGACACATATAATTGTTGTGTTGCGTATATAATGTATTGATATGTTGTAATGTTCATATGCTAGGTTGAGATGTTGATAAGTTGTTTGGTTGTGTTGTAAGTTGAAATATTGTTGTGCTGTTAAAACCTTGATAAGTTGTACTGTGTGGTTTATGTTGTTTAAGGTAAGTTTACCCTTACATATTTCCTTGTAATTGGATTGCAATGATCATATTTAATATATGAATAGGGTAAGAATAAGCTAGAGAATGAGGATTTTGAAAGTCATGTTGGAGAATTGTGTTATTGCTTGAACTACTCTAGTGTAGCTAATTTTTTACCGACAAGTGACAACCTAGACTTAGGTCTTCAATTTTAAATTATTTGTGTATGTGTGTATGTGTCTATATATTTGTGTGTAGCTCCATTAATAAACATTTATAATTTCAGTAGATTATTTTTTAACACATATATTATTGAATGTATATTTAGAAATTGTTCACATGGTAATTTCAAGATATATTGTTTATATTTTTTTGCTATAAGTTACTAAATTGTAAAGTATAAAAATTTGTCGAGTTGTTACAAATATTATTTAAAAAAAAAATCAAATTTTACTTAAAGTAATGGTTTCTTAAGATATTCAAAGAAATGTTTTTAAAATGTTGTACAAAGTGTTGAAATTAGATCCATGACCAAATTTAATCGCACAAATTTTCAGGTTAAATACGTTGTAAATTAACTTTTTAGACTTATCATAGACGTCACAACATCTAGTAGTTGACGAGAAGGAGATGACTCTACTTATCTCAAAATTGTTAAATGGTATCACCGATAAGAAAGAATCCAAATATGATATAACTTATAATTTGATAGGCAACATATAAGATGATTTAAGCTTCCATTTTATTAACTAAAAATTACGGTGCGAGAAAGAATAAACATGATTGTTATGCTTATATATACATATATATTATTTTAAAACTATTGTATTTTTTATTGCAGCATTTATGTAGAAGATTTCATGCTTTTTTTTAATTAAATTTTGTAAATTAAATTGAAGATTAAATTTTTATTTAAAAAGGATAAAATTAACAACTGTTTTAAGGATTTTTAAAAAGTATGCATAAATTGTACATGCAATACTTATAAAAATATTTATGATATAGTATATTAATTACAATTTAAAAAATTATATATTTAAATTGTTGGTATGCGAAGCAGCCCGTTTAACGTGAAAGGAATGGGCCCAAGTGTATTTGAATTTGTAGACGTAAATGCAACAAAACTGAATCAGATGGCATGGGCCGTATGTGGTTCAGTTCAGTGCACCTGCTTTGTCGTTTGCGCTTACAAATAATAAAGACACTTCAAAAGAAGAAAATAGATAAAACAAAAAGGACTTTGCAACTTGCAACCAAGGCTTGCTTCTCTTCATTTTAGAGTAAATACTCCTTCATTTTTTTTAATATTTTTTTTAAGAAGAGGCAAACGTGTTTGTATATCTTGATGGATGACTTATGTAATTATATATTGATAAATGGAATTTCGTATAGTTGTAAAAAATAAGTGTCAACATCACTGTTAACTTATGAGACTCCCAAATGGCTCAATGTGTTGATATGAATGTAAAATATTAATATTTGGCTAAATTCTTTAATTACAAATCATTGTGAGGGATAATGACAGCTTCTTGGGTGGTCTTGTGTCTAATCCAAGTCACCCCTTTTGTTTTTATGTCCAAATAAACCTTACTTTTGACCACAGCCACCAATAAAAGGTTAGGTTAGGATGCTACGTGTGAGCAAATATTTCGTTTCATTCATCAAGTTAATTAATTTATAAGTTAATCACCTATGTACTGTCAGTATAATTTTTTTTTACACTGGTAATCAATTAGATCTGTTAATAGTGTCATGTCACTTACTTATTTAATTAAATTAAAATAAAAAAGGCACTATTAACAAATCTGATTAGTTGCCAGTGTAAAAACTTTTACACTAACAGTGTATAGGTGATTAACTCTTAATTTATTAGCTACATATTAGAATATTTTTTGCGCCGAAATTTGATATTTTTCGTTGATTAAACACATTATCTCTCTTTAGAGAATTTTTCAAGCCTCACATAAGATTTATCTTTATTTATGGGTGTCATTGCATTCAAAAGGTTGCATAGTTTTTGTAACACATACACCATATGTGGTCTTTCCTATCATTAGAAAAAATGGAATAAGGTTTAGAAGTAAAATGGCCTTAGATCAATTGTGGGCTGAAGAAGATACAAGACGGAAACTATGGGCCCAAAGATCCGCAATAAGCCGAACAAGGATTGGCCCAAATAAAAAATGTTAGATAAGTGGAAAACAAATAACTTGGGTGGTGACTGAAAATTGCAGTATTAATCGGAAACCTTTTGGGTAAATTTTGATATTATGATAATGTCAAAGGAGAATGACATCATTGATTAACAAATTGAATTCTGATATAATCAAATATATGTATAATAAAATATTAAATTAAATAGAATATTTATTATTAATTTTTTAATTATTAATTATTACTATATTATATTAATTATTAAATTTAATAAGATCTAAAGTTGAATCTTGTAATTAAATAAAAGTGATTGTTTTTTTTATTTATAGTTTAATTAGTCAATATATTTAACAGAGATTAATTATCAATAAATTAATAATAATTTGCACATTAATATCTTTACTAATATATAAAGGGGATACCCTTTTTGGTAACTACCTTGGTCTCCACTTTTTTGGACCATTATACCCTTTTATGTTAAAATATTAGAAAAAATATTTTTTAATCAAATTTAAGAATTTGAAACTAATATATAAAGGGAATACCATTTTCAGTAACTACCTTGGGTCTCCACTTTTTTTTACCATTATATCTTTTTATTTTAAAAAATTAAAAAATATTTTTTAATCAAATTTAAGAAATTGAAACTAATGAATCTATACTAATATATAAAGGAGATACTACTTTCAATAACTACTTTTGGTTTTCATTTTTACATGAACTATTTTATCCTTTGTTTAATTTTCAATAATCTATACTAATATATAAAAGGGATACCCTTTTTGGTAACTACCTTGGTCTCCACTTTTTTGGACCATTATACCCTTTTATTTTAAAACTTAGAAAAATATTTTTTAATCAAATTTAAGAATTTGAAACTAATATATAAAGGGAATACCCTTTTCAGTAACTATCTTGGTCTCCACTTTTTTTTAACCATTATATCTTTTTATTTTAAAAAATTAAAAAATATTTTTTAATCAAATTTAAGAAATTGAAACTAATGAATCTATACTAATATATAAAAGAGATATTATTTTCAATAACTACTTTTAATTTTCATTTTTACATAAAATATTTTATCCTTTGTTTAATTTTCAATAATTACTTTTTTTTATGAATAAGTTCTCATTATTTTTCTTATTTATTTTTTTTTCTTTTAATACAATGTAGGTACGAAGTGCCTTTTTTCTGCTAGTAGTTATAATATGTATAGTAAGATTAACTCGTATCGATGTGTTTTAAATTGATAATTATACTCCAAATCTAATCTCACATATATTAATATAACGATTCTTGATTTTTAAATTTTCAAAGTTTAAGAAGAAACAAATCACATAAAAAGCGTGGAATTTTGAGGATAAAAGAAAAACGTGGAGTTGATGCAGCTGTCAGCATTCTTAATTTTCTTTTATGGAACAGTAGTAAACATCATTTGAATGTACTAATAGCCATGAATTACAATGTTGTAATTAATAGGTTAAAATATATATATATTTTTTTATATAATTTCACATACCTTATTTTTTATTTTTATATTTAAAATAATTTTTAAAATTTTATATTTATCTTTTTTAATCATTTTTAATTTTTAGTTTAAGATAATCTTTTTTTTTCATTCTTAAACTTGAAATTTTTTAATCATTTTAGTTTTTTTTAAATACTAATTCTTTTATATTAACGTGATATATGTTAATTTAATAAAAAAAATATCTTAACAATAAATGTCATAAATAAAAATATAAAAAAGACATAAAGTATCAAAAGTTCAACAAAAATAAATTCGACATCAAATAAATAAAATTAAATTAATATTTCTTTTATGTCAATACTAAAAAAATAATATTAGAAAAAAATTAATAATAAAAAATAAAATAATTAAAAATCTACAAATATAAAAATTAAAAAGTATATATTAAATTATAAGACTTAAAAAGTTAAAAAAAAAATATAAAAATTAAAAAATGTATTATAAACTATAAAAAAAAATTTAAAATAAAAAATGAGAAAAAAAAAATACCCTAATGAATGACATGGAACTAGACAAGATTGATGATGGGTCACACTCACATGGCATAACAAAATTGGGCAACAGAAAATCGAAAACAACAGGACGCGACTCACCGTTGAGAAGGGAAGATCAAATGCTGCACCCGTCTTTTTCGGCTTAAGAACCAGAATAAATAAAAATAAAAAAAAATTCAAAAATAAATTAAAAAATAAATTATTTTATAAATATCAAAATTTTGTATAAAATATCTATAATACTCATTTTCAAAGTGTTTCACAAATATTTTAGAGAATATGTTTAATAGTAAACAAGTATTATTAATTGTTATAAGAATCTGCCAAATCAAAATACATATACTTTAAGAAGGAATAAGGTGGAATAAGAAAAACTAGTGGTTTAGAGATTTTAGTAGTTTAAGGAGCAATGCCATTCAAAAGGTAGATCAGCTTCGAGTTTCAACTTTCAACCGTCCTCTACTATTTTTTAATTCACGGGGTGCAAAGGGTAGCACTCTTAGATTTATATTTTGTGTCAAAATGCTACTGCACCGAAGTATGTTGAGAAGTTTATTGGATGATGGATTTGATAAGCAACTGTTTTATGTGTTTATCCAGTGCCACCAAAAATTACATGATGAGAATGTGAAGTGTTTCAGAATAGAAGCAAGCAATTTGCAATTATGTGACAAAGATACAAAGATACTACTAATCAATGTTGATGGTATTGGCATACAATCAATTTCGTGAATTTATTGACATCAGATTGGGTGGTATTCTCCCTCCTCAAAAGACCAATGACTGTGTGTTAATGTGAAACATGAACGGTGGAATCATCAACTGGGTGCCAGAATCTGTTGTAAAACCAAAGGGAATCAGCCTCCACAGCAACTCCATCTTGATTTCGGTGCCAGCCGTAGTAAGCATGAGTTCGGTTCTTTATCTCAAAAATAGCATGTCCGAAGCTGGCCTCTCGGAATGCTGAGTACTCTGGCTGTGGTTCTGTCATACTGCAGCTCAAATGTTGTTTATGTCAGACAGACTTGGTGGTAAAAAAGTAAGAAGTGTGACAAGACTCACGGTGTTACATATATAAAAATGGACAACTTAGATATAGTAGTATTATATGTACTCTCGGTGCTATTATTGAATCAAAATTGAAAGTTTACATTAAATGTAAATACATATGGGTGAGATGAAAGTTCAATTCTAATTAGAGAATAATTATCAGTAGGGATGCAGTTAGAATTAAACTATAGCAGGGACCAAATATAAGAAAAAATTATTTAATAAATATATAAATATCAAAATTTTGTATAAAATATCTATAATACTCATTTTCAAAGTGTTTCACAAATATTTTAGAGAATATGTTTAATAGTAAACAAGTATTATTAATTGTTATAAGAATCTGCCAAATCAAAATAACTTATGCCACTCAACAATTTTTTTTGAACAATAATAGTCAATAATAATCAATAAAAATAAAATTTTCAGTAAATTATTAATCAAGGCAATAATAGTCAATAAGAATTGAAGATAATAAAACCACAAAGAGATGAGAAAAAAAATATAAAAAAATTATCGTAAAATATGAAAGAAATTCTGTTAATGTCATTTACAGTTCAATATGTCAATCTCTTATATAATGTACAAATATTTGTCTTATCAACAAATATTAATAATAATTTTTAATTCTCAAATTAATTTATAATCAAGTTCATACAAAAGGAATGAAAAGAAGTTCATTTTTATCACAAATACCATTATTTATAACTTTTAAAATTGCTATAAAAATTATATAAAGAAAAGAAACAATTAAAAAAATCAATTTATGTTAGTAAATAATTTGCTTTAAAATAGAAGAAAAAAAATCTAAGATCATAAAAAGAAAAACAGAATATTTGTCTATAAAAATATTTAAATAAAAACTATAAAAAGATAATAAAATATTTTGTCAAATAAAAAATAAAAAATAATATTATATTCATAATAAATAATAATTTTAATATATATAAGAAAAATTAAAATTAAAAAAATTCAGGGAGGGTCATGGGCTCCCTAACGTAGCTCCATTCCTGACTAACAATACTTATAATATTGTATCTAAGTTTTATCCTATAGAGCTTACTTGGTTGCTAAGCCTTCAAGATTTCCTCCATCGCCAATGGTTATATATACAGGAGCTGATTGATCTTTTATAGGACTGCAAAGACCATTTACAACATTGTATGCAACATTGGAAACACGCTCCTGATACATAGTAGCACATCAATCAGATACAATTTCACAGAAGAAAAAAATATATATTTTAAGTTATTAATTATATATAATTCAAATAATATATAAAATTAATAAATAATGAATAAATTTAAATAAAAAATTTAAGAATTAAATTATATTGGAACGGGACGTTCTGGTTTTATTTTTGTGTGTTGCATTTTCATTTAGAACGGGCCGTTCCAGATCCAGATACAACACGTGAAGAGTGAATTGGAACGGCCCGTTCTAGTTTCAGAACGGGCTGTTCTGGTTGTGTTTCGAAGCCCCAACCCGTCAGTTTTCCATTTAATTTTAATATTTTTTACTTTATACAGAAAACGTCAACTTAACGTTTTTTGTATATGAACAGTACCAAAACGTCACCCAGTCTTACGCTTTCAGTGCTTACATTTTCGTCCCATGTACAGTATACTAAAAATGTCAAAGTACTTGACGCTTTCACACTTTTCTCGCTCCTACGTGTCCAAAATAATTTATTTTGGTAAATAGTTTTTTTTTTAATTTATTTTTGAATTTTTTTTATTTTTATTTATTCTGGTCAAAATGCCGTCTTTTTCTTCTTTTTTTTTTTTTTGGTAATAGTCTTTTTCTTGTCTGGGATCGTTTTTCTTAATTAACTACTTTCTATATTTATTCAAAAATATTAAAAATATTAATATTTATTGGATCAGCTATTATCGTATTTAATCTTTAAATTTCAAGATCTTGAATTTAATTAATTTTTAATATTATTTCTTACTATTTAAAATTTAAAAATAAAATAATACAAAAATTATATATATAAAAAAAAAGGTATCAAGAGGTATAAATATTCTTAATTACTTATTGTCTCATAAATTTGTGGTCCCAATTTTATTTTCACAAAGAGGGAATCAAATTTATTTTGTTTGCGTTGGTCTATTACTGCATTCATTTCTATATATAAAAAAGAATATATTTGTTCTAAAAAAAAAGTTACAGAGTATATTAAATAACATTACTCAAAAATCAATGAATAATTTTTTACAGCTAACGAGCATAATTGCGATATCAGAGATTCAATAAATGTAATCACTTCTGCGAAAAATAAATAGATAATCTATTAATATGCTCATATTAAATTAAAGATATAAAAAAGTATTAATTTGTTATTTTCCCACACCTGCGTAATTAACAAGTTTAGTTCATTGTTGTTGATGAGTACATAACATAATGATGTTACAATCACTCAATCCAATCACTATACAAATTCAAATTCTCACTCTTTCTGGTCAAAATCTCTAGATTGATCTAGGTTTAACCAAATTATGTTCCATCAATCACGTATATTTACCCTATTATAAAATTTAACATGCATCTAACTAATCAATGTAAATATGATAAAAGCATAGCTAATAGTTAATTACGCATGGCAACGGGCCGGGCGGAGTAGGGGTGGGTTTTACGTTTCCTGCTTCGCCCTCGCAAATTTAAATTGCCCTCGCCTCTGATATTCGTCGGGAATAAAATCTGGGTTCTCATCCCTGCCCCGGCGGTGGGGTTCGGATTTCCCCACCCCGCCCTCGCCCCGTTTCTATTTTTTTTTCTTTTAAATAAATATAAACAATTTTAAAAAAATAAAAGAAAAGTAAAATAATATAAATTTTTAAATATAAATATTTCTAATTTTAGTTTATATATATAAATAATTTTTTAATTAAATTATTAAGCAGAACGGGGGTGAGGGCGGGTATGGGGGCAGAGG